CCAAAATCGACGAAAACCATGTGCTATAGTCCATGCTTTTTGCCCAAAAATGGATAAAAATGACCTATTTTGCATCCTTTATATATTATGTATATCTTTCAAAAAGGTGTGAAAATGGTCCAAAATCGACCAAAACCATGGGCTATAGTCCATGCTTTTTGCCCAAAATTGCCTATTTTGCATCCTTCATGAATTATGCATATTTTCCTAAAAGGTGTGAAAATGGCCCAAAATCGACCAAAACCATGGGCTATAGTCCATGCTTTTTGCCCAAAACTGGCCAAAATTGGCCTATTTTGCATGCTTTATAAGTTTTGCTGAGTTTCAAAAAGATGTGAAAATGGTCTAAAATCGACCAAAACCATGGGCTATAGTCCATACTTTTTTTCATTCTTTATGAATAATAATACTAGTAAATAATAGAATGTCTGGGACAGATAAATATTTTTCTTATCTCCTTATTACTTTTCTTTAATGAGTTTATTGAATATTAAAGCTACATGTTTTGCGGAATATGATACTATGACATCATTTGTTCATCTACTGGCAAGGGTATTATCTGTTCAGATTGTACATCTTTTTGCCTGTGACGAGAAATAATCACATGAAATCATAGTGGATATCCCTATATTTTGTCTTAGTATTGTTCGCTGCTGCTTCGAATCATCCTGTTTCTAGTCAGAACCATCTCTTGGGCTCCTATGAATAATGGAGGTCCTTCCTAGTAATCTGTTAGGATCGAAGAAAACAAATCATCTCAGTATGACTAGGCTCGCATGAGAGCAATGCAGTACCGCTCGAAAGCTGGATTTTCATTGCTCCCTAAGTACAGTACCGCTTTTATAAGGTTAGGTTTAGTTCTATYGTTTGGATGACCAATCTATTGTTTTTTAATCCAATTATGTAACTCGTTCCGAGTGGTACGGGCTGGCTCTCGGATGACCACGTATAATGGCGAACCTGTCTCACTTAGAGACGTTAAACATAGAGCACCACGAATTGATTGGTGCTAAATTAGCTACTGTCACGTGTCACACTCTCTAAACAAAGACATTACTTTTTTGATAGAAAAAAACTCAATAGATGTTCATCATTTGTGTTATTTTTAAGTATTTTTGAACGTTGTTTATGTTTTTGCGTTTTCGCTTAGACGTTTTTTATATTTTGATGTTTTGCTTTTAGCTATCGTTTTGGCTGGTTTTTTGTTGTTGTTGTTGTTGTTGTTGTTGTTGTTGTTGTTGTTGTTGTTGTTGTTGTTGTTGTTGTTTTGTTGTTGTTTTTTGTCGTTGTTGCTTTTTTTTTCGTTGTTGTTGTTTTTTTTGTTTTTTTTGTTTTTGTTTTGTTTTGCTTTGTTTTGTTTTGTTTTGTTTTTTTGTTTTTTTGTTTTAATTTCCGTCCCCTTGTTTTCTAGGTTTTTAAAATGTTTTTTTCTTTCTACTTTTGAACTCCATTTCTTTTCCTTTTTTCGTTTCTTTGTCCTCTCTCGTTTTCTTCCTTCCTTCTTTCTTTTCCTTTCGTTTATTTTCCCCTCTCGGTATTCTTCATTCCTTCTCGGGCTACGTCCCTTACGTCATTTCTTTTAAACAAGCTGTCAAGTTATTTATTCCTACAATCACCTTTAATAGATATCGTATCACCACAGTAGCGAAAGGGACAGTTTGGTGGCTTTTGTAGTTTATACACGAAGAAGTGCCCACAGTTGCGCACCATTATTTCCAATTTTTCTTGACATTTATCTCCATCATCGCTTGGGTAAGGCACACTAGGGAAGCAAACCTTGGTGGATAAAACAGAAAACATGAATTTAAGGAAACTAAAAGGACAAGGACAAGGACAAGGACAAGGACAAGGACAAGGACAAGGACAAGGACAACATTAGGATACTTTACCAAAGCAATGACTACGTTTACGTTGACCATAGTCTTACCGTTCTTGTAACAGAAGCGTCCTTATCCTTAGGGAGCCTTCCTTCCATCCACCCTCCACTCAAAGTGGTACAATGCTCAGTGTGCGGTGGTTTCAGAGTCAAGCTGTTACCTGCTTCTCCCGTGAAACGGAACCAACTGGATACTTTATCACCCATTAACTTATCATCACAATAGAAATCGGTACTGGATGATGCATGGATGGATCTCGTGGCCTCGCTCAGCGTCTTGTACACGTCTTTGCTGCATTCCAGTCGATCTACGTTCAATAATATACATGTTACCTTTCTTTCTTATTACCTATGATTTCTACGCACCAAGACGTCTGGAATTTTTGCTTTCATCAATCGAAAAAATATTAAACCAGATTGTTGGAAATTTGGTCGAAAGAAGCCAAAAAGCAATATTTCTTCAGTGAATGTTCAAGCTTTGTGTATTCTTTGTTTTAAAGAAAAGAATAGACTTCTCAACCAAAAAAGGCAGAACTTAGAAATAAAAATTTTTGGGAGGGTATAACACCATCGTTCGCCGGGAAGAAAGGGGAGGGAAACCAGGAAAACAGGAGAGAACCAGCAAGGCACTCTGCTCGCATGAAGGCGGGACCGAGGAGCTGGAGGAGGAAACTCATGATCCCGCCGGTGAAAGAGGATGCATAAGTATGGCACATCACCCGAGCTTATTAAATTCTTTACCTTGAGTGATCATATATACAAAGTTCGCCCACTGTCTGCCTACGCCGTGTATGCAACTGGTCGACTTTCCCTTCTTATCAAACGTTTTGTAAGCCTCAACTCCTGTCCAGCACTCCCCATAGAACTGGATTCCAAAGTACGTGTATCCTTTGGAGTGAGCCAGTTTTGCGCAGTCCTTGACGACTCGGTCGAAGCTCGGCCACTCGTTTTCCCAATCGATAGTATCTCGGAAGTTTTTTAGGAGGATGGGTAGTGGTCTGCTCATGTTGTCGTTATAGCAACCAATTCCTTCGTACTTTACTAGGTCATCACCAACTGCAATAGAGTTGACAACTATAATGATTGTCAGAGAGTGAGAGTGAGAGTGAGAG